ATGTGCCGACTGGGAAGCACAAGGAGACCCCGCTGTACATCCTGTGCACGGCTGGCATGAGGCTGCTGCCCGAGAGGTCAGTTTGCCAGTGCTGAGGAACCGGCACCTGCTGGATCCCCTGGCACATCCTCAGCCAAGTGGGAGGCGATGCTGGACCTTGTGAGGTGGAGGCAGGGCTGGGAAAAGGAGCGGGCTGGAGGCGTGGAGCGTGTTGGGCTCCTGGCAGGAGGCAGCCGGTGCTCCCAGCTTTCCTGCTGGGAGGAGACGCTCTGAATACAAGGCTAGCCCTAAATGCTAAAAATGCTCTGCGGAAAGTGCTGCATGCAGGAAGGGGGCTCATGGGGCTGGAGGCGAGGTGTCCTGCAGCAGGATTCCCGTTGTCTCTTGTGCCCCACGAAGAAGGTGGGGATCGCTTGGGATCTGTCCCTCTCTTGTGCCCTTGCAGGCAGCAAGCTGCAATCCTGGAAGACTTGGTGACAAATGTGCCTCTGGAATTTGACTTCCTCTTCTCCAAATCACATGCAGAAGTGATCTCAGGGAAGCAAGAAGGTAAGGGCTGTCCCGGCTCTGGGTGCTGCTCCATGCCCGTGCCCAGCAAGCTGTGCCAGGCCCCTGAGGCAGGCGCATCGTGGACTCTGCATGGGAGCCGTTCTGCACTGCTCTGTAGTGCTCCAGCCCTGCTTTGGGCAATGCCTGAGCACCCCTTTGCTTTCTGTGCAGGTGTCTATGCTTGGATTGGCATCAACTTTGTCCTGGGGAGGTTTGAGCACAAGGATGGTGAGCTTAGCTGTTGGCACGATGGTTGGCAGGGAAGCCTGGAGCTGACCCAGGCGCTGGAGCAAAGAGCAGAGTCTGGAGAGGGCAGTGCCTGCCCCTTGGTTTGAGGGCAGCTGTGCAAAACCCTCCTGAAACTGCAACACAGGGAGGCAGCAGCCCAGGCTGCAGGGCAGGGGCTTGTTGTGCTGCAAGGTGGCACCGGCAGCGTTTTGGGGGAAGAACTAGGGAGAGAGGGTTTGTAGGAGGGTTCCTGCGATGGCTTCCAACCCTGGCTGTTTTGGGGTAACCTGTGAAGCTGGCAATGGGGCAGTGGCAGAAGGCAGGATGTGCTGCCGTGTGCCTCATCCCTTGCTGATGTGCAGCTGTGGGTTACAGAGGAGGACGCAGTGGTCACGGTGGCTCAGGGGGACCAAGCAGAGTCCTTGGTGCGGAAACGAACGGTTGGGATCCTGGACATGGGGGGAGCCTCCCTGCAGATCGCCTACGAGGTGCCCAGCTCTGGCACCTTCTCCTCCCCGCAGCAAGTGAGTATCTTACCAGCCTCCCAGGACTGGCACCAAGGGCTCCTGCCTTCCCTGGGTTGTGGCTGATCAGACACCTCTGTTTCCCCAGGAAGAGGCTGCCAAGAGCCTGCTGGCAGAGTTCAACCTGGGCTGTGACGTGCAGCACGCTGGCCACATATACCGTGTCTATGTCAACACCTTCCTAGGCTTCGGGGGCAATTTTGCTCGGCAGCGCTACGAGGAGCTTGTCCTGAACCAGACCTATGCACACAACAGGTAAGGCCACCTTGCCTTGGGAAGTGACTGCTGGGTTGCAGAACGGGGCACCCATTCCCTCATGGCTGGATTTACACCGGGGGCCTCCCGTGGTGGTTCCCAGCAGCCGGATGACGGTAGCAGATGTTGGACTGGCGCACGGGGTACAGGAGTTGCCCTCCTCGGGCGTTATCAGCACAGCAGCTGGCTGCCCTCCTCCCGCTGGGCCGCACGAGTCCCCTTTGGTGGCCTTTTCTGCTCCTGCTTTCCATCCTTGGCTAGTGTTGGTGCCATCAGAGCCTCCTCCTGTCGCTCCACACCTGGGACTCTCCATCCCCCATCCCCTTCCTGCAGCGTTGCGTGAAACTCTCCCTGGGTTAGGCAGGCTTGGTCACCATGTCCCGCAGGGCCAGGAGCAGCCCTTGCCCCTCGGAGGAGTGCGAGCCCCTGTGCGGGGACTGGGACTGCACATCCCACTGTACAGCGTGATGGGTCTGAACATCCGCTTCAGGGAGGGGGTGGCCGGGTGACCACGAGGGCGTGGGGGCTGCAGCCTTTTACGGCTGGGGAGATCTGGGCTGTGGGGGAGCACTGGACCCTGGCCCGAGGCAGAACGGGAACCCTGTACAGCTGCCTTTGCTTTCTGGCTTGTCCTGCAGCCTGCATGGCCAGCGGACAGGGCTGAGTGCCGAGACACCCTTCCTGGACCCCTGCCTCCCCGTGGGGCTGGAGGACACGGTGGTGAGGG